TCCTCATTCTAGGCCTTCCCATGGGTAAATTGAGCAGATTGTATTGCCGTCTTTGAGGCTCCATGTGGCAATAAATGTTATCCCTCCACATATAGTATGTTGTTGCAGGCTGAGAGGTTGAGAGTTTGTGACCCCTCAAAGACCGGAGTACAGGGCAGGTAGTCTGGAATGAATTCACAGACTCAAGCATTCTTTAAGCCAAGGTGGCAAAGTTTTATTGTTACGCGTTTCAGCCGGCAAGGATTCTTAAAGGATCCTGCAACCTTAGAGAGGTACAGTTAAAGTTTATATAGGATAAAATACAATAAAACATATGTCAAATATGCTAACTAGGGGATTCAGGGTGGGATGAGGGAGTGGTTAAGGAGAGGTTAGTTCTCAATTGAAACTCAAGATAAGAAAAATCCCATTATTCTAGAGAGTATCTGGTCCCAGACATCCTGGGCCCAGTGATAACAAACAGGAAGAATACTGATCAGCTCTATCTGCTCCTGGAATTTGCTTGACACAGGAAGGGGTGTTTTTAGTTCACTCAGAGCTTAAATGATTATCAAGGGACAGTGTTTCTGAGGCTAGGGAGAAATTGGGGTCTGAGTACAAGCACCTAAACATAAGCACCCAAGCATAAGCACCCAAGCATAATCACATCTCTGATATTGTTCAGTAAACTCAAAAGTGGAAGCTCAATTTCACATGCATTAGAGGTCAGAGTCCCTAAGTTAAACTTTTTTCTTCCAAAAATACTCTCCTTAGAGTCCAGAAAAATGTGGTAAGCTCAATTTAAAAATAGCTCTCCAGGGGGTAATGACCCTTCCCAAGACAGTGATTTTTATAGGACTTAGATCTGAAAGCTATCACAGAATCATACATTTAGAGTGAGAGAGGACCTTCAGAGGCCATCTAGTAAAACCCTTTTATTTTATAGATGAGGAAACTGAGGGCCAGATTGGTTTAAGTAGTATACTCAAGGTCACACAGGAGTTTAATTATGATTGGTTTAAGTAGTATACTCAAGGTCACACAGGAGTTTAATTATCAGAGCTGGGATTTGGACCCTGGTCTTCCAACCCCACATCAGTGTGCATTTCCCCAGACTACACTCTTAGAAATCATCTAGTCCAGTCTCTTCAATTCTATCAGTGAGGAAAGTCAGGAGATCACACGGGGAGTGAAAGAGCAGAGCCAGGATGCAAACCCAAATTCCCAGACTCCAAATCTAGAGGTCTTTTCTACTCCATGTGCTGCCTTTTCACTTTGAGGGGAAGAAGGAAAAAAAGGGAGGAGACAAATTGGAGACAGCCCTCATCCCACTAGGAGTTTCCTGACCTTTGCCACAAATCTTGGTGTCACTGCCAATATGTTGCATTCCTCTGAATACAGAACACCCTTTACAATGTAATCTTGGTGAAAGGAATGTTATATAGAAACACTGAGAAAATTATTTTTGTTGTTCAGTTGTTTCCAACTCTTTGTGACCCCATTTAGGGCTTTCTTGGCAGAGATGTTAGAGTGGTTTTGATGTGGATACAAATGGTGCCCTAAGGGTTAAGGACAATATTAAGGGGTGCTTTTCCAGTACTTTGTGAACCCCCATAGCTTATTCTGTAACTTGAAGGCATCCTAAAGTCCTTTCCCCCTTATCTTAAACGTGTACCAAAAGAATTGCTTTTGTGCCTCTTATCCTGTGTTACCCCTGTCCTTTCATTTTTAACCTGTGTCCTCATGCCCTGTCCTTAAATCCTTAAACCATAAATTCCCCTTGTCTCTCTCACGCTATGTCATAAAGTCCTTTCTTTAATCTTTAACCCCCATAAAAAGCTCTAAAACGACATCACCATTCTGAAATCTCTAAGCATAATTCCCCCAAATATTGGGGTCTCACTTAGTTTCTTGCTAATAGGGCCTATGCTGCTTACATATTAAATAAAACTCCAAATAAATGGCTACAGAAAAAGTCTAAGTGAATTCTTTCACACCTGAACCCCTCTCCCAAATCTGACCTCAGCAGTTTTTCATTTCCTTCTCCAGCTTATTTTACAGATAAAGAAACTGGGACAATGAGGGTTAAGTAAGTTGCCCAGGGTCACCCAGCTAGTATCTGAGGCTGGATTTGAATTCAGGTCTTCCTGACTCCAGGCATTGTATGCAGTGCACCACCTACCTGTCCTAAAAAATTGTAGGCTGCCCTCAAGTTTTACACAAGCTAGATTTGGGCTAGAAGCAGTGCATTTTAAACAATAACCAGGGGACAGCTAGGTGGTGTAGTGGATAGAGCTCCAGCCTTGGAGTCAGGAAGAACTGAGTTCAAATCCAACCTCAGACACTTGACACTAGCTGTGTGACTCTGGGCAAGTCACTTAACCCCGATTGCCTGTTATTTCATTATGTTGCAACAACCCTATGAAACAAGTACTTAGAGGTATCATCACAATTTTATGGATGAGGAACCCGAGGCAAAGAAAGCTTAAATCACTTGCTCGTGGAGATGTTGAAAGGAAAATTCTTCCTTTGGGGCTTCATCCTGATTAAAGAGGAAAAACTCAAGACAAAGAAAATTAAAAGGAGATGATTATGGGTAGTCAAGGCAGTAACACATTGACTGGCTGATCACTGAAGATTAGGGATGGCTTCAAGGCAGGAACAGTGTTTATAGGTAACTTTAAGGCAATTTAGCTAGAATCACTTCAGCAGAAGAGTTCCCCAAGATAGCAAGAAGGAGACAATTGGCAGATAGGGGTACAAAGGTCACAGGCAGGACATGACTTGGCTACTTGACCAATTATCAGGGGACTAGAAGGCACCTCCCCTAATACTGGTGGACAAGCAAGACTGGAAACGGCGGGATACTGAGTCAGCAGATAACTTTCAATAGCCACATAGCAGTAAGTGCCACCCAGACTTCTTTAGAATGTTCTCCCTATTCAGAATGATCCGATGCATTACTTGTACAAAATGTTTACCAATGCCTGATCCGTTATAGACATATCTTGTAGCAGTTCATCTGTCCTGAAGGTAGAATGATAATTACTGATATATGTGTTTTAAGGTTTGCAAAATGCTCTACACATGTTGGCTCATTTGATCCTCACAACAGTCCTATGAAGGACATGCTATTATTATTCCTGTTTCACAGGTGAGGAAACTGAAACAGATTAAATGACTTGCCCAGGGTCACAGGTCTGGAACAGGTCTCCCTGACCCCAAGATCAGCACTGTATTCACTGCACCACCTAGCTGTCAAGGAAGAATGTGAAGGGAGCTTTAGGGTAAGTGGTAACTTTTCTGACATTTCAAGGCCCAGGTTGAGAAGCGACTGGGCAGAGCAGTTCAGGCCACATGGAGTGCAAGTGTATCCTTGAAAAGGTGGTTACCAGTGATGGAGTTGTAAGGCTGATTTGTGGTTTCTCTTTTATGAGTAGGACCCTGATCTATTATTCAGAGATGCAAGGTGGGTTGGTCCCCTACCTGGGCTAGTTTTTTACATGTGAACTTTTGCCTATGTACAGGAAAACCTGAACAGTCAGGTTTCCCTTCTGGCTCATGGGGCCCACCAGTGAGTAAATAAATGAATGGGGGAAAAAAAGCATTTAATAAATGCCTAATGTGTGCAAAATCACTATGCTAAGTGTGAGAGATACAAATACCAAAGGAAAACATTCCTTGCCCCCAAGGAGCTTACATTCTAACCAGGGAAGATAGCACATATAGGGTAATAGTGGCCAGGGAAGCATGTTTTGGAAGTCTGGAAGATGGTGAATTGAACAATGGAGCAGTCCATTGATGTGTCCCTTCTCTAAGCAAAGGTAAAGTTGATTGCATTTGATTATAATTCTCAGAGTAGGAAGTTGAAGTTAGAGAAGATGAGGGGAGGGGCAGGGATGTGAGATGTGTACTTAGCAACAGAGCAGTAAATGACAAAATGAAAATGAGGATGCATGGTTCCAGGAAGAGAAGTATTGAGTAACTTAGCTCTTCCTGGGCATGATCCCTGGTACAGTTTGGAGAATGGAATAGCAGCAAAGCAAAAAATGAAATGACGAGGAGGATGCATGGTTGGTAAGTATGCGTCATCTTATAGAATTTTAATTGTTGGCATCTTTGTCCAATGCCACCTGTGAAGCGTATTCATTCTGTTCCTCCAGCTCTGTTCAGTTGCACCATGAATAAGAGTGAAAGAGGTGAGAGTGATTCATAATTGGGGGTTGTCAAGATATAGTTGGCAAAAGGACAAGGGGTCAAGGGATCTTAGGATGGAGGATAGTATAGAACTGAGATGGTACATAAAGGGGTTAAGACAGGGAAGGGAGGAGAGTTTAGTTAGTGCAGGGGTGAAGAACTATAAAAGAGCTGCAGAGTTGAAGAGAATGGAGGTCAAATAGGGATAAAGAAAAGGGTTGAGGTGGTAAGGTGAGAGAAAGCAATGTTATAAAAATGTTATTTTTAGTTAAAGCAGACCTGCACAACTTAGCAGTAGGTAGAGGCCAAAATTTAAAAAGATTATATGTGTATATATATATATATATATATATATATATATATATGTATATAGCCTTTTTATAGAGGCTCACTTTCCAAGTAAAGGTATAATTAATACTTAAACTATTTTGCAAATAAACCATATAAGAAAAGGGAAATTTCAATTAGCATCAATTAATTATACCTATTACTTAAGATTTTTATTTATCATGAAATCACATTAATATTTAAAAAATTACTTTGCTAAGCAGTACAAGTTTTAATACATTTTTCAGGTTTTCTTACTGTTTACATTTAGTAACAACCGAAAACACAGCAAAAAGATATGACTCTACCTTCTCTCAGACTAGAGACAGACGATGGTTGGTTGCCAAGGGTCACATGACAAACAGGAGAGTGCGCAGTGGCAACCCACCCACCAAGTTATATGACGGGCACAATAATGACTAGCGGAAGGCAGGTTAAGCAGGGCGGAGACAAAGCGCTTGTTATGTCTTTATTTTCTTTTACATCCTCTACATTTTTTGAGGGTCCCCCGAAATCCTTTGGTGGGCTGCAAGTGGACCACGCCATATGTTGTGCAGGCCTGTGTTAAATCAATGTCAAACTTCATGAACATGGGAGTGGCACACTTGTGGATGATGGCAAGATCAAGAGTATGACCATCTCTAGCTCCCCCTTATGGCTGAGGTGAAGTGGAAAAGCAGATAACAGCAATTAAGAAGATAGAGGAACGGGGATGTTAAGGTGTCTGAGAGAGTGTCAACATGTATACTGAAGATCCCTATTATGAAGGACAGAGAAATTGTGAGCCAGACACTAAATTCATTGGGGAAGAAAGGAGTACATATCAATATTGATATCATTTGTATCTGCATATATATTATACAAATATATATATGTATACAATACAAATATGTATGTTACATGTGCATATGTATACATGTATAGATATGCACATACATATATAAAACCATATATGTATGTATGTTTATGTTTATCTATGGTTCTTGATGTTTCCCAATCAAAGAGATTGACACCCTCTAAAGATATCATAGGACATAAGATCAAGGGCTCTTTTTTTTTTTTTGAACAAGGGCTCAACCCAAGGTCCATGAACTTTTTAAAAAATATTTTGATAAATGTATTCCAATACAATTTCAATATAATTGGTTTCTCTTGTAATCCTATGTAGCGTATTTTAAGCATCTGTAAACATCATACTGAGAAGGAGTTCTTAGGCTTCCACAGGGGTCTGTGGTACAAAAAAATGAAGCATTCCTGGCTAGACTCATTTTGTTTACACATGAAAACTTCATCATGTGTGATTACATTTTTCTAGGGTTGGAGCAAAAAAATCCTTAACAAGTATTTTATGTATTATTGTTACATTCTGTTCTTTTTTAATGACTATATCAACTGACTTGGAGGGTGGGGAGAGGTGGGTGGAGGAAGAGCTGCATTCCTACTTGTTTAGATGACTATGAACTCAAACCAAGTCAGAAAAATAGGAAGCAGTGTAGTATGGGAGAGAGGATGCTAGATTTGTGAAACAGACCTTGGCTCAAATCCAGGCTCTGTCATTTTCTTCCAGTGTAACCTTGGGCAAATCACTTAATCTGTGGGTCTAAATGTCTTCATTTCTAAAATTAGTGGGTTGGACTAGAAGACCTCCATGGTCGTCCAGTGCTGAATCTATGATCCTGTGATAAATCATAAGAGGGCAGGTCCATTCAAAGTATTGGGGAAAGATAAGTGTCTCATTCTGTATATTTAGTCTATCATTTCTCTGTCAGAAGGTGTGTAGGTAGCATTTTTCATCATCATCATTTTTATATTGCTATTATTGTATTATAAATTGTTTTCCTGGTTTTGATCATTTGACTTTGCCTCAGTTGGTACAAGTCTTTCCAAATATCTCTGAAGCCTTCCCGAACTTCAATATTTCCCATTACATGATGGAATTTCCATTACATTGATATAATTTATTTAGCCATTCCCCTATCGTTAGGCACGCCCATGACTTCCAAGTGTTTGCCACTGCAAAAAGAACTGCTATCAATACTTTGGGGCATATAGGACCTTTTCCTCTTTCTTTGATCCTTTTAGGCCTAGTAGTAGGATTTCAGGGTTGAAGAGTATGAACTTTTTAATAACTCTTTGGACATTGTTCCAAATTCCTTTCCAGAATGGGTGGGCCATTTCACAGTTCCAACAACACTATTTCGATGTACTTGTTTTCCCTTTTCCCTTATAACATTTGGTTCCCCCCCCTTTTTTTTTGTCAAGTTAGCCGATCTGATGGATAAGGTATAAGTGCAGTTGATTTTATTTGCATTTCTCTAATTATTAGTAATCTGCAGCATTTTTTTCACGTGGCTTTTGATAACTTATCCATGTCTAAAAATGTCTGTCTTGCTCTACATCCCGAGTCCATTATTTATCCATCGGGGGGGGGGCAGCATGCTTCCAGAGTATTTATTCCTCCAGCATCTAGCTGAGCACACACTAGTTGTTCAATAATGAAAATGAACAGGATTGTTATGTTTTACTGATGGCCAAATAAACAGATATCCTTGGGAGGGGACTTTCTCTTTTCTGGGTCACTCTGATGGGAAAGGGCTGCTTTGTCAATTTTATACCTATATCTATATCTAGCCATCCACTAGGAAACCAAAGCCTACCTGGGCAACTTGCCATGTGCTCTGCAGGGGCTTGCTTTTTCCCTCATCCTCAAATAGCCTCTGCTTTTTACTTCTTGCTTGGAAACGGTAATTAAAACAATAATGCCAGTGCTCCTGGAAAGGCCATGACAAGTGACTACTTTATTCATCCACTCACCATCCCTGTGACTGTCTTCAGGCCAAAACTCTCTCCCCGCCCCCCACTCCTCTATATGTGTGTTCTCTCTCTATTAGTATATAAGTTCCTTGAGGGGAAAGGAAAAAAACCTCTTTTTCCTTTGTATTTATATCCCTAGCATATAGCATGGTGCCTGGCATTTCTTTTTTGTTATTTGTCTATCACTGGATTGCTTTCCAGTGCAGCCATTCAGAAGACCCATATATACTGTTTTTATTTAAAAGAAGAAGATGTAGCACACATCAGCTCTGACTCATCTTCTCTAGGGACATTTAAGACAGGTGGCGTTTCTTGACTAAGTGTCTTATAAAAATCCAAACAATCCTTTTTTCATAAGAGCTGCCTAATTAAAATGGAAAGTTAGTGCCTAGAGAGCATATTCTCTGCATTTATTGTTTCCTGTCAATTCTCAACTGAGTAGGACATCTCTTGGGGTACTTTCCTGAACCACGACTACTCACAAACCTCCACACGTGACTGAAATAAATGCATGACAGAGGGAGAGAGAGGCATGCATGCGCTTGTGACCAAGTAGTCTTCTGCCAGAGCTAAGTCAGTAAAAGCTTATTTTATCTGAAAATATCTGGACAAGTGAGCCCCCATGGGAACATTAGAAGTGGGTCAAATGGTAGGTCATGCTCGCTGAAATAAAAAGTTAGTTTTTTCTTTTTAACATTTTAAAAAGCATTTCTATTTAGTTTTGAGATAGAAATTCTATCCCTCCCTCTCTCCCCTTCCCCCCTCCCTGAGATGGTAAGCAATTAGTTATAGGTTATATAGGTGCAATCATGTAAAACATTTCCATATTAGTCATTTTGTACAAGAAGACGCAAATAAAAGAAAAAAGAAAGAAAGTGAAAAAATAGCATGCTTCAGTCTGTATTCAAACCTAGCAGTTCTTTCTCTGGAGGTGGATGGCATGCTTTGTCATTAGTCTTTTGGGATTGTCTCGGTTCATTGTTTTGCTGAGAAGAGCTATGTCATTCCCAAGTCTTCATCAAACAATATTGCTGTTACTGTATACAATGTTCTCCTGGTTCTGTTCACTTCACTATGCATCGGTTCGTGTAAGTCCAGGGTTTTCTGAAATCATCCTGCTTGTCATTTCTTATAGCACAATAATATTCCATTGCAATCCTATACCACAGCTTGTTTAGCCACTCCCCAATTGATGGGCATCCCTTCAATTTCCAGTTCTTAGATACCACAAAAAGAGCTGCTATGAATATTTTTGTACATTTAGGTCATTTTCCCTTTTTGTGGATGTCTTTGGGATACAGGCCTAGCAGTGGTATTGCTAGATCAAAGGGTATGCATAGTTTTATAGCCCTTTTGGTGTAGTTCCAAATTGCTCTCCAGAATGGTTGGATCATTTTACAACTCCACCAGCAGTACATTAGTCCCGGCTTTCCCATATCCCCTTCAACATCCAACATTTTCTGTTTTTGTCATATTAGCTTCTCTGTTAGGTGTGAGGTGGTGCCTCAGAGCTGTTTTAATTTGCATTTCTCTGATCAATAGTGATTTACAGCACTTTTTCATATGACTATAGATAGCCTTGATTTCTTTGTCTGAAAACTGCCTGTTCTTATCCTTTGACCATTTATCAATTAGGGAATGACTTGTATTCTTATGAATTTCACTCAGTTCTCTATGAATTTGAGAAATGAGGCCTTTATCAGAGCTACTGCTTGCAAACATTTTCCCCCAGTTTTCTGCTTTCCTGTTAATTTTGGTTGCGTTGATTTTAGAACCCTAGTCTTGAAGACCAACACTGAAACCAATACTGGACTAACCATGACAGCTCACTAATGAGCACTCATTTGTATCCTATGCTGGAGCCACATTGTTAGGGCCTCCTAACCTGGATCCCCATGACCTTAGGAACCTTCAGAAGGTACTGAAGCTATGGCAAACGTGATCCTTAGCAAAATGGTGGTCAGCCAAGTTTGTCCTTGCCACACTTCTTCATACCTTTTTAGTTCCCTTTTTCCCTTTCTTGGTCCAACTTCAAATCTATGATCCATCAAGAGCCATGGGAATAATCTCTAATAATTGAATTTCAAGCCAGTTGGGAGACATGTTTGGGAAAGAATCCCTCAGATTGTAACGCAAGGAACTACCAGTTCTGTCAATTCATGGGCTATGGATCTGAGAGGATTTGGGCTAGGGGGAGGAATCATGGGGTGAGGAGCTCAAACTGCCAACTCGGATGATAAATTCATTTGTCCAAAGGACTAACAGGAGCATGAGGGGTTGTTAGGTTCCTCTCAGCCTTTTTTCTTCCTAAATAAGCCCAGTTCTCTATTCTCTGCTTAGCTGTCTGGCCCACTTAACTTAGTTGCTTAAAGCAAAGCATTAATGAGGTTGCTAGTTCATTTGTCAGACAAGCCAATTTTGCCCAAGAAACGCTCTGTTCTCTAGTCCCAGACCACATTAAAACAGTTATCCTAAAAACATTTGCCACAGGCCACATAAGAAATAGGGCCAGTTTATAGATGGATTGGCACAAAATCCAGGATTCAGAAATCTTTCAGAATGCATACCTCCTTGCTAATGGGAAATGAACAGTATTCCTTTGTAGATGAAGGAAGCACATTTTCTAACCCTTGCATCATTTTTACTCATCTCCTCTAGGTACTCCCCAGAGGACTATAGTTCAGTTTAGGGCCCAAAGACTGAACCAAGCAAGTCAAATATGAATTGGGTATTGACAGAAGGAAGGTTCTGGCAGGGTTTTCACAGAATCAGAAGAGATCTCAGAGAAAATTTCCTCCTACCTGTAACTAGCCTGAAACCCCTTTTACAGCGCCCATGTCAGGGAAGTC